CTGAATCTAAGATTTCTATTCGTTTAAATATTATTTGACCAGTCACGTTACTATTGATCATCATCCAATAAAAACAAACTAGCCATATGCTTACTTCAAGATATATGCGTGTAATCTTTCGCTGATCTCATAATAACATCACGTGTATAGACACGTCGAATTTTTCGCGTTTATCCAGGAATATCTTACATCTAATCATTAAATAAATTTAAAACCAAGTTTCTCTCAAAGTTAAAGTCAAATCATTTTGTCATATTAATTATTTTTTAATTTAGAATTAATTATATTTCAAATATGAGAAGGATAGACAATGAGTTAACGAATGGTCATGGTTCACCAGTTAGAAGAAATAGTACGCCAGTTAGAAGTTCACCAAGGCTTGCTGCAAAATTTGCCGAACAATCTCCTAAACCAATTCGAAGAAGTTCTTTAGTACGTGACCTACTTATTATATATCAATTTAAATGTAATAATAATCAGTAATGATAATAATCATAATGATAATAATAATATAATAATGATAATAATAACATAATAATAATATAATAAAATGATAATAATATAATAATTATAATAATAATAGGCACCACCTCCTACTAGAAGTTGTTTAAGAAAAAATGAAGATAATACCACAACAAACTTTGATCACCTTTTACAAGAAGATAACACGAATCTTTTGGGAATTGTATGTGATAATTCTAATACTACCACTTTCACGTTACGTAATTTGGATGAAACAACGGGTTTATTTGAGTAAATATTCTTATTACATTGTTATTAGTTATTATTCTTAATTACTATTATTATTATTTTTTTTGTATTGATTTTTATTTCATATATATTCATATATATTAATAAATGATGTTTCAGTGAAAACGGACAACGACGTCGTAAATCAGTAGGAAGGAGAGTTAGTTTTGCTGCTACAGCACATGTTCGGTAATAATAATAATAATAATAATAATAATAATAAAATATGATTTATAAATTTTAAATGAATCACTTCATTAAATTTTAAATAATGAAATGAAAATGAAATGAATGAATTAGATTATTTGATAAATATCAATCGACCGATAATATACCAACAACAACAACACCAAATGGTGAAAGAGGAGGAGGTGATGGTGATGGTGGTGGTGGTGTTGTTGATGATCATCATAAGAATAATGAGAAATTTTCATCACCACCAACATCAACACCAATAACAACATTAATGACAACAACACCAACACCGATAACAACATTAACGACAACATTAACGACAACAACGCCATCAACACCACCAACAGAATTTATGTTAGCAGTTCCTCCTAGTACAATTTCACCAAATGAACGTTTAATATCGAATAATAATAATAATAATAATCCTTACCCTCCAAAGTATGTAATTCATTCATTTATTCTAATTAAATAATATTTTAATAATATCTTAATAATATCTTAATAACAATCTTAATAATAATAATAATAATAATAATAATAATAATAATAAAGGTTACAAACCGAAGTAGATAAAGATATAACGAATGTTCAAGAACATGATATGTCCATAGTTGAAGATATGTCACTTGATGAACAAGATTTACAAGATTTACAAGATATGTCATTAATTCTTGAAACCGAATCAACCTTATATAATGATGATGATGAGGAGGAGGTGGTGAATGAGGAGGAACAAAAAAAAATCAATCAATTTGCAAAATCATTAAGGCCGACATCTATTAAAGAAATCAAAGAAATTAATGAACCATTTGATGATGATGATGATATGTTAATAGATGATGATTATGATCGTGAATTTGAATTTTTAAATAATAATAATTCAGTACAACCATTACCACCATTACCAACATCACCACCATCACCATCTCCATTAAGATTCTCTAATAATAATAATAATTATCTTCAGAATTTCTCTCAAAATTTTTCACAAAATTACTCCCTAAATTTCCCTCTAAATTTTCAACAAAATGTTCCACAAATTTTCTTACAAAAATTCCCCCGGAATTCAATGGAAAGACCAACTATTACTACCACTACTACTAGTACTACTACTAGTAGTAATAGTATTAATAATAATAATATTGATAATAATATTGATAATAATATTAATGTTAATATTAATATTAATAATAAAGAAAATTTTAATATGAAATCTTCTGAAAACAATTATATATCTTCTTCTTCACCAATAAGATCATCATCAAATAACGAAAAAAATATTAGGTATAATAAACCATATTATGAATTAACTGATATGTCACTTGTTGAAGAAACTCGAATGATGCCTGAAGAAGAAAAAGAACATGAAGAACAAGAAGAAGATATAGAAATGTCATTGGAATATGAAGGAATAGTAATAGAATCACGACAACAACAACAATTACAACAACCACCGCCACCGCCACCACCACCACCACAACAATTATATCAACAACACCAACAACAATTACTATTACAACAACTGAATAATAATAATATAAATAAACAAAATTCGTATGAGAATCAAAATATTTTCGAAAGACATGATTTTTTCCAGAAACAAATAACTGAAAATAATCTAATTGAAAATAATAATGATGATAATATTGTTGCTGTTGTTATTGATGATAATGAAGGATATGAAGAAGAAAAAGAAGAAATTACTTCGGAAGAATCGAAATTTATGAAAGAAGCAATTGATGAACAAAATAATCAAATCCAAATCTTTGATACTGAATTAGAAAATCTTAAAAAGGAATTAGATTATTTTAAAAAACGTCGCACGGAATTAAAAAATGAAAAATTTGAATTGATTCAGGTAAATTAAATAAATATAATAAATATAATTATATATATCATATATATTGCCTCGTTGGACTAAATTTAAATAATTTAAATAAATAATTTAGGGAATTAATGATGCAAAGAATATTATTAAAGATATCAAATGCTTTACTAATAATGATCTCAAGAGATATCAAGGTTAGCAAAAAAAATGATAATAATAATAATAATAATGTGATTTATTAATAATAATGATTTTCGATAAACCATTTCCACAACCCACAGAACAGTATGAAAATCTTCAAATCATTCATAAATGGCGACCTCAGAAATTGTCAAGTGATCTCATTCATATGATTTATGACAATTCTTTACAAGTTAAAATCAATTTGAAAGTTTTATCATGTAATAATAGAAATCATTATAATAATGAGAACGGAAATAATCATAATAATAATGAGAACGAGAATAATCGTAATAATAATGAGAACGAGAATAATCAGAAACGTGAAAAAGGTGGCGGAACGCTACCTGTTATTGACCTGCTTCTGACTGATAATATAAAAGAAGATAAGGAATATGTAAGTTATAAATGAAATGATATAATAACTTAATTCAAAATAATTAATTAATTCTATATATTCTTTTTAAATCATTATAAAGTATGAATTAATGTTAAACAGTTTATGCACAAATGAAAATATTATTATTAAATTGGTTAATATTAATGAGGTAAATTCATGATAATTTTATTTTATTTCATTTTATTTTTTATTTTTATTAATTTTTATATTTATTTTTATCTTTTTTAATTATTATTTATTTTAGATTCCAAGCCTCTTAAAATACTTGACTTCGTATTGGCAAAAAGTTAAACAATTTCGAGAAGAATTATATGTTATCCGATTTAAATTTCCTATCGAAACTATTTCCAAAACAACTCTTGTCACTCAAAAAGATAAAGGTTCAAACAAGGGATTCCCCGCGCAGATATGTTTAAGAGTTTTATTTTTTAATTATAATGTTCATTCAAAATTCTTTGTGAATTTCCTTTTTCAACCCGTCGACATGATACGTTATCCTTATTTTGAAAAGAATATAGAATGGAAATTGGAAAGATCTTATGGAAATAATATTAAGTATGCTTCTGTGTTTATATTATTTATTTATAAATTATTTATTATATTAATTCTGTCATTCTGTCATTAATTCTTGTCATTTTATCCATTAATTCCTTATTTTGATTTATTTAAAAATTTATTAATTCAATTAATTGATTAATTCTTAGTGAGAATGCAATATCAAATGTGATTGAAACGCATTTGTTACACGGCGGTGGTGTTGGTTGTATTAATAAAACGTGCATCGAAATCAATAAGAAAGGATTTCTGACTTAATTTGGTTTTATCTTGTGTGCATATCAATCTTAGATCGTATATATATATATATATATATATATTTATATTTATTATGTATGTTAAAATAAAGTAATCATTGTTTCAAGTTTAATGAAACTTGTTTGGGTATCACGTGATTATCTAACTGCATATAATTTAATAGAGAAATTTAGTATGGTCGATGATCTCGATAAACCAATAACTTTTTTGGTTCTTTTTTTTTGAATTTTTGATTTTTGGTTCCCGTTTTTCTCGAAACTTTGTAATATGTGCTTAGACATTTTTAGGGAAATATCTATATATAGGAAACCACCGCCAATGTCTTTTTATCCGTGAAAGCAAAGGATAAATACCAAGAAAGATTATTATACAGGCGTCATACTTCCGTTAGCCTGTAAATTTTTTCACATTCTTTAACTAGACAGGTTTCTAGTTGAGATTTAATGACTATAAAGTTCCAATTTTTTTTCTCCTCTCATTTTTCTTCAAGCCTCATTATCAAAACTATTATCTTTTACCTTCGAAATTAAAAAAAAAAAAATGAATTCTACTCGAAATTTTATTCCCTTCTCTTTTACCAAATTCCTCACTTACCTTTTCATCATTTATTTGATTTTTCCTTCTGTAATTAATGTTACTGAAGGAACTGGAACTGTTAATTATAGTTATAGTGGTGATACTGGTCCACAATTTTGGCATTTACTCGATAATTCCGATAAAATTTGTTCAACTGGTAAAAATCAATCACCTATTGATCTCACATCTGAAGATATTAAAAATTACGCCTCACCTCCTTATCCAAATTTCACGGATATAACTGAAGTTAAAGCATATAATGATGGTCATACCGTCGAATGTTCTTCTGATGATATGTCAAAAATTTCTATTACAGTGGATGGAAAAATATATACATTATCCCAATTTCATTTTCATACACCTTCCGAACATCGAATTAATGGTAAATATTTTGATGTTGAACAACATTTGGTATTTCAAAGTGAAGATGGATTAAATGCTGTCGTAGGTGTATTTTATGATATGTCATCAAAAAATAGTACTTTTATGGCACCTATAATTGAAAATGTGAGTAATATTTATTATTATTATTATTATTATTATTATTATTATTTTTGATTTGATTCGATTTGATTATTTTTCTGAAATATATTTATTTATTTTTTATTTTTATTTTTATTTTTTTTTTTAGCTTCCAAAAAAATATAATGAAACGAAAAAAGTTGATAAAGTCGAATTATTAAGCTTATTGAATGATCTTAATTCTTTGTCTTATGTAAGTCTCGAATTGCTTGATTTGCGTTAAATTAATTAATTGATTGATTGATTGATATTATTTTATACCCAAAAAAATTTTTTATTGATTTTTATTAATTTTTATTAATTTTTTATTTTAATTAATATAATTAGGCTTACTCTTATTCAGGAAGTTTAACAACTCCTCCTTGCACAGAAAGTGTAACTTGGTTCGTCAACGTTAATCCACTTAATATAGGAATGCAACAAGTTATCGAATTACGTGATGTTATAGGGTTTAATTCTAGATATTGTCAAAAAAGATATTAATACAAATTTTTGGTAACTTTATATATGGATAGAGGGTTAAAGGGATAGAGAGAGAGAGAGAGATCTATTTTATTTTTGTTTCTTTTTGTAAAAACGGGAATAGAAAAAGGGAATAGAAAAAAAAAATAGAAAATAATACATAATAATCATAGTGAAAACAAATTGAACCACCTACTGAAAATTTTCCTTTAGCAAATTCTATTTTTTTCAAATAAAATCTTTGCTTTTACTTCGTTACAAAAAAAAACAATATATTTTTATATTTCTATGCTCAAATCTCTCTTGATAACAATAAACCTTATGTGACGTGACATAAAGATCAAAAATGTATAATGAGATCACATATTACGCCTGATGCATTATATTTAATCAAAACGAAATTTAATTTATATCACGAACGAGTGATGTATTTTAAATATTGATTTTTCAAAGATAAAACGACTAAATAAGGAAACTGACGAGCATTTTTTTCTAAATATAAAATTCCTTTTTTGGATTTTCCCACGAGTTATCAACTCGTAAACAATTTATCGTAAAAAAGAGTATTGTTTGAAGTCTTTATTTATATAAAAAAAATGTATATTTAAAAAAGGACAAATCGTTATTCCTAGTCCCCAGTTCTTTCACCACATATTTTGAAACGTACCCTAGAACCATCTTTTTTAAAGAGATTGATCTTTGGTAATTATACCCCGTTTTACTAATTGTTCATCTGTGCATTGATTTTTTTTTTGGGGGGGGGAAATATCATTCTTACGTAATACGGGATATATTTCACTCAATCGCCGATACCCTTAGCCACGATTTTTCCGTGAAATTCTTTGAACATAGCCCGTTTACACGTTTGATAATTCAGAATTATGTCATTCGTTTACAGTGGTGCTTAATATTGGTTAGATTCCTCGAGCATTTAATTTAAGTAATGATGTCATAACGTATCTACGTATCTTGTAAATTTAAATATTAAACTTATCGACGTGCGTGATGTAATGACCTACATATACTTTTAAGTCTTCGAGGGTTTTATATGATTAACTTTTTGGTCTAAAAGAATTTTTTCAATAAATTTCTTAAATTTTTATAGCTGCTCCTCCCTCCCTCTCCTCTTTTTTTTTTACCAAGGATCCTCTATCAAACACAAGTATTCAATAAAAATTTATTTTCTTTATCATCCGATAATAAACACTTTATACTAAATATAGAAGTAAATTTTTTTCTATACATTCTATCTATCTGAATTAAGTGTAGTAAAATACATCAGAAGAGGATCTTACGTTTTTCGCGTAGGAAAATAAGAAAAGTTTGTTTCATTTAGTTTTTAACCATGCAGTAATGATTTTATATGGGATGCTATTGAGTATACAGATAAACTGTACGGTACGAAAAAGCTATTTTGTACTGTACGAATTGAAATTAATGTGACTGTACGGTTTATTTTCTATATACATAACACAAAAAAGGATTTATACCCATGACCTGACTCTAACTTTGACCAATAACAAAAAGAAGTACGAATTTTATGGCTATTTTTTAAAATCGTACAGTACCAAATAGCTTTTTCAGTTTATCGTCATGTTGATTTAATTTCCGAGATCTCGTGATATTCTATAAATATGTTTATTATCTCGTTGGTCAAATATTTCACCTATCATTCGGATTGTAAGATTATCAATACGTAAAAAATATTATGGATTTTAACAAATTATTTTTATTTAATATTATAAAAAAATTTTTAATATTCTTGAAATCGAGATGCCTTTTTCATTATAACTTCAAACAATCTACATAAGAATAAAAAAAAGAACGACAGCACATCATGTCGTCATTGCATCCAAGAACCAAAGACCTCGAAAATAAATCCTAACAGGAGCGAACGAATCCAGGTTGGTTAGAACGCCGAAACCCTCAGAAAACCTGCGAACGAACTTATAGAAGGCGATTCTTCTGCTGGGATCCCAGTCACGGAAGCTCACTCCCTCCAGCGTAACTTATGAATGTTCACATGCTAAACATACAATGCCTAGTGAGAAAGTACTCACCTTTTCAACTTTTGTTACAATTCATTTGTTTTTCGCGTTAAATGTTAGTATTTAAAATAATAATTAGTTTTTAGTAAACTATGCGATATGCGAAAAGAGGATTTTGGCATTGTGTTCTTGTGTAATCCGTGTCACAACGGTTATTAGTATACGGTCCAATATTTTTCCACACTTGCCTTAACTCCGCACCAAGTGACTAATACTAATAAAAACTTTTTTTGATGAAATTCGTTAGATAAATGGAAATGCATATTTTAAGCATATCTTCATGTGTAAATTCTTCAAAATCGTGTAAGATGTACAATTTTCACGATTTTCACGATACCTTTGTCACGTGGAACATAAACATTTATTTTTTAATTGAATACCCAATTATTTTGTTAATTAATAAATTAATAAATTATAATCCTCTTTAATAAATTTCTTTTATTTCGTATACAAAAATTCATTAATTCATGGAATTTAAAAAAATACAAAAAAAAAATAATTATAAAATCATAATTCCCAGTAATCCGTATATTTACAATAGAAGTGTTTTCTTTTCTATGTAAATTAACATTAAAAAAATTTCTAGTAAAATATATTATTTATATACATATATAAAATATCTTGCATGTTATTAATATTACTAATTAATGCTATCAAACTCTCTCTTATAGGTTATTAAATATCTTATTTGCTTATTTGATTAAAAAAATTGTTTTTTTTTTTTTTGATTTCATTTTCTTTCAAATTCTTCAATATTCAAGTCTTGTTTATTTTCATTTGATTCATTATTATTATTATTATTATTGGATGTTGGAAAACCTTTCTTAACTTCATTATTACTCTCTGAATTGTCTTCTCCTTTGTTAATTATTTCAACATAATTTGAAGGAAATAAACCATTTTCCCCATTTCTTAATCGACCTCTCCACCATTGAGATGGTTGTCCAAGCGGATCTGTCTTTTTTAAAATTGCAATAATATCTCCCCGTTTTAAAGTTAATTCAACAGGTGATTCACCTTTAAAATCATATAAAGCTCTACAAAATTCAATACTAGGAATAATGTTTCCATCAATTTTTCCGGGAATCATAATATTAGAAATATTATGATCTAATGGAATATCATCTATTTGTTGTTGTTGCTGTTGTCGTCGTGAAATTATCTGAATAAGTTTATGCATTAAATATGGGATCCCAAATACTGCAAGAATAAATAATACTAATGGTCGACGTGAATATTTTTTCCCTTCTTGAAATTGTTCAAATTGAATAGGATTCAACTCCTCAGGATTAACTGGAGCTTTCTTTCCAATTATTTTGTAAAATAGGTGCTTTAACCACCGTATTAAAGCAAAAATGCTTAACACCTGTCCTAAATAATTACGTAAGTTTCCAAATTGTTCCACAACTCCAACCATTGCCATAAATGAAGAATGAGTGGCGAAGAATGTTGACTCTAACATTTGTGCAAATCCTCCAAAAGCATTCACGATTGACTCAATCATATGAAAACCAGCTGCTGTACTGGCTTCCATTCTTTGAGTAAGTGACATCTCATCTGGACCTGGAGGACCCATTCTCCCACCATAACCGAAACGATTGAAAGGTGATCCATAAGAACTTCCATATCCTCCATATGAACCATAACTTCCATATCGAGAATATGGAGAAGAATATGATCCATAACGGTTATAAGGGGTTCCATATGAACCATAACTAGAATAAGGACTATATCCTGAATTATATGTCGAATTATATCCTGTTGTACCAAATCCGGAATCGGAACCATAGGCTATTTATAAAAAATAAAATAAAGGTCATTAATCAGCTTGTCAATTTCAAACTAAAACTTGTAATAAAAACATACCTCTATTCGCGAAACCAGAAGGCATCGGTCTTGCAGGAACAGCTGGTACCGTATCAGGACCTGAATTTGTTGATAACGGTGTTTGTGTGGTTGTTGTTGTTGGTATTCCCGTTCTTGTTGTAGTAGTATTCGTAGCACTTTGATTTCTTTCCCATGGTTTCGGCGGGGATGGCATACTTCTTTTTTTTTTTTTTTTTTAAATATGAAAAGTTACAAACTCAAAAAAAAAAAAAAAACGAAGCTTTGATATTATAAATAAAGTAACACAGACTAATTAAATCATGTGTATTTCCAGGGGTATTCCCGATTATCCTTTATCAGTCAGTTATTCTTACTGTGATTTTTTTTTTTTTGTACAGTTTTTCTCTGCTTAAAATATATAATATATTAAAAATGATGGAATATGAAGATGTCTTGACTAACCAGCCCGTGGTTATTGACAATGTATATCTTTCAGCACAAATATAGCTGGCTACCTCTTTCTCTTAACTGTGTTAATTCAAAATGCTCGTGTTACTTTTTAGGGTTCAGGAGTCATTAAGGCTGGTTTTGCTGGTGATGATCTCCCAAAGTGTTTTTTCCCATCTTAGTAAGTTGATTCGCGGTTCATAAAAAAAATAGTTTTTGGTTTTATTGAATTCCTCATTCTCACTTTAACACTCATTTATTCATATTTATCTTAAAAGCGTTGGCAGACCAAAGCATGTACGAATTATGGCGGGCGCTGTCGAAGGAGAAGTTTTTATTGGTCGAAAAGCCCATGACTTAAGAGGACTTCTTAAGATAAAGTACCCGATTGAACATGGAATTGTATCTGATTGGGATGACATGGAACGTATATGGAAATATATTTATGAAGAAGAATTAAAGACTGCTTCAGAAGAAGTATTTTGATTTTTTTTAATTAATATTTATAATATTTTTAGTGTATGTTTTTACATTCTAATATGTTTTTAAGGTTAGTTTTTTTTTCTCCCTTTACGCTTCTCTTCCCTTTCCTTTGATCTTAGCATCCAGTTCTTTTGACCGAAGCACCACTCAATCCAAGAAATAATAGAGAACTTGCGGCACAGATGTTTTTTGAAACATTTAATGTTCCAGCTTTGTTTACATCAATTCAAGCCGTTCTGAGTCTGTAAGTCAACCTATTTCTAGATACATTTCTTAGAATGCTTTATATAAAATATTAGATATTTATATATTTTGTATATAATTTGATCATTATCAAAAAAGGTATTCATCAGGTCGAACTACTGGTATTGTTCTCGATTCTGGTGATGGAGTAACTCATGCTGTTCCTGTTTATGAAGGGTTCGCTCTTCCTCATGCTATTAGACGAGTAGATATTGCAGGAAGGCACGTATCGCATAATTTTCTAATTTTTTTTTATTATATGAGATAAATATGTTAATATTGAGAAGTTTTCTTAACATCAATAAAAAAATATAGAGATGTTACAGAATATTTACAATTACTTCTTCGTAAAGCCGGTTATAATTTTCATACCACCGCTGAAAAAGAAGTTGTCCGTCATATTAAGGAAAAATGTTGTTATGTCGCTGTAAATCCGACAAAAGAAGAAAAAGAAATTAATGGAAAAGTTGAAGAATTCCTCTTACCTGATGGAAATGTCGTCAAGGTTATTTAATTCCATATGATATTATCTGTGATAAAATCTGGAAAAACTTTTTAATTTAATAATTTTTTAAAGTTATGAAAATTCATTTTTTGACAAGATATTTATAAATAAATATTTTAATTCTTTGTAGTTGGGTACTGAAAGATTCAAAGCACCGGAAATTTTATTTAATCCAGAATTAATTGGACAAGAATATGCCGGAATTCACCAAGTAGTAGTTGATTCTATTTACCGTGCTGATCTTGATTTAAGAAAATCGCTGTTTGCCAACGTTGTATTGTCAGGCGGTTCAACACTTTATAAAGGTGATTGTTTTATTTATTTATTGAATTTTCATTAAACATGTTAATTTATATTAAATATAAAATATTTAATAATTTTATTATATCTGAATCAAAGACTTTGGTACAAGATTATTAAATGAAGTGAGAAAATTAGCCGTCAAAGATATTAAGATCAAAATTTATGCACCACCAGAAAGAAAATACAGTACTTGGATCGGTGGATCTATATTGGCTTCATTGAATACATTTAAGAAGGTTTGTTTGCATGAATTTTTTTTTTTTTTTTAAAAAAAAAAATTATGATTTATATGTAAATTATATGTATGAAAGTTTCTTTAATTTCTATCTGTATTGATTTATATTTAAATAGATTTGGGTTTCTGCAGAAGATTATCAAGAAGATCCGGATATCATTCATAAAAGAACTTTCTAAGTCTTTAAATAAATACATATTTATTTATTTTAATTTATCTAGCTCTTTCCTTTTCTTTTTCTTTTTTTTCTTTTTTTATTAATTAACTATACATCTCAGGCATCTTTATGGGAGTTGTTTGATAACAACAGTTGATTTTGATTTTTTTTGATTCTTATATTTATTGCATAGGAAAACTTTACATTCATTATTTTTTTCATTGTACTAAAAATATGCATTTCTTGAATTTTGTTTTGTTGCTCAATTTTTCTCTGTTGTTGAATTTAATATAAAAAGTCCATTGATATATATAAATTATAATTTTTTAATTTAATTAAATCCCATTTGTTTATTTTCAAATTGTGTAAAAATTCTTCTCAAATTGCTAAAATTATAAATCTTGGATTATAATATTGTAAATCTATTGTAAAATCTTAATACAAATAATTCAAAATATAAATTTAAAGAATTAAATATTAATCACCTTGTCAGAGGGACTCTCATCACTACATGATTTTGTCACTGTACCACAATTCATTTTTTTCTTATTGAATATTTTCTTATTGAATAAAAAAAAAAACTATTTTTCTTCTCTCAAATATATATATTTGAAGAATCAAATTATTTTTGATATCTACAATACGTCATTGTTGAATAATCAATTTAATTATTCTTTCAATGATTTAGTTAAATCATACGTTTACTATTTATATTATTTATTTCTATTTTAATTTTTAAACTGTAAATTTTTCTAATTAGTAAATATAGTACATTAGTAATCTGATTTTCTTTATTTAACTCTTTATTATAATCATTGTTACAAAGCTCCAAATAATTTATAATTCCCAAGAACAAAATTATTAATAGATTATATTTAAAAAAAAAATATTTAAATGGTTTAGATGGTTTTTTTTCCTTACTTGGATATAAACGGGCGCAAAAATATCAGGGATGAATAAATTAATTTATAATATTTTAAGGTTCTGGTTTTTATCTGGATAAAAAAAAACTTTTCTCTTAATAAAAAGGAATTGTTTCCTACTATTCCTACAAAGAGTTGTAAAATGATTAAATGAACTCAAGAAAAGTCTAAAATGGTGATTTTTAGAAAGGGGGTCACCTTTTAAAGCGAGATTTTCGGAGCAAACTTTTTTTAGTGTCAGATTTCGCACGCATACATTTACGTAACTGATATACCCATAATAGTAGATAAATTACTTTATCACGTGAATTTGATAACGAACTATTCCAGTTTTATAAATAATTGGGTCCGCCTGGTATCTATTTTATCAGTTATCATTTTTTTTTTATGACACAGACTTTCAGCTTTTAAAGTACTGATGCCCAGCTGTGCAGAGATTTAAAACTCAAAAAGAAAATTTATTTAATTCTCTTGGTAAGTTTTAAAATTTGGAATTTAAAATATTATCAATTTTTATATTTTTTTACATCTAATTTTGGTTGTCACTACGATTGTTGGTTTTTATCATAATAAAGAAAAAAAAAATGCCATATTACGGTTATAAAACACCTTATGTACGTTCCCCTCAACGTTCACCGTGTCCTCCCGTGTGCAGAAATTATGCTAACGGATATTGCAGGAACGGTCAAAACTGCGATTTTTCGCATATACGGGATACTAATAATCATAGTATGCAGAACTATAATGGAGAAGGTTCTTCCTCAACAAATAAGTCGAACCCTTCCCACAGATCAGATCCCAACTCTTCAAGAACACAGAGTTCAAACTCCAGTTCGAACATCAGTTCAAACATTAATACAAATTCTAGTTCAAATACCAATAGTTCTGACATTAATTCTACCGATTTGGTTATTACAACCCCCTCTTTTCGTAGTTCAAATTCTTATAATTCTCATCCTCATTCTCATAATTCTCATCCTCATTCTCGTAGAAAAACCAAAATTTGTGAATTCTTTCTTCAAAATCGTTGTAGATTTGGGGATGATTGTTGGAATAAACATGAAATTCCAGAAATTCCAGAAACTAACGTTATTGAAGTTTTAGAGAATAAGGAAGTTGTTGTTGTTGAACACAAAAAAAAAGAAAAACAAAAAGAAAAGGAGGAGGAGGAAAACATCTGTTCCATTTGTTACGATACTCCTCAGATTTTTGGTTTGCTAGGTATATTCTTTTTTTTTTCATTATTATTATTTTATTTTTTTTTTTTGTTTTATATTCTTTTGAAAGGATCAAATAATTTTTTTTTTTTTATCATTTTATTATTTTACTAATTTTACTAAGTATTTATATATTTCCTTTTTATTTTATCCAGTACATTGCGATCATGTATTTTGTCGTGGTATGTGTTATAATAATAATAAAAAAAAAAATTTTTTTTTTTTTTTTATTCATTTTTTAAAGTGATAAATAATAATTTTAAATTTAAATTTATTTTATATTAATTTATTTTATAACTAATTCTAATTTAGATTGCATAAAGGAATGGCGTAAAACGGATAATCTTTCTAGTCCATTCCAAACTATCGATACCACCAAGACTTGTCCAGTATGTCGAAAAAATTCACCGTACATTGTCCCTTCTCAAAATTTCGCAAAATCTGGTTCAATAAAGGATCAGATTATTTCATCATACAGAGAAAGACTTGCTCAAATTCCTTGTAAATATTTCCAAGATTCTAAAAAATGTCCATTCGCAGATGAATGTCACTATAAACATGCTAATCCAGATGGATCCAGATGTATCTTGGGTCCACCTCGTAAGAAAAAACCAAGATCAGTTCGTCAAATAGGAAATTTTCGTTATTTAGAAGTTTCTGGAGAAAGTAGTGGATTTGATATTTCAACAATTTCCGAGATTCTTGGAGGACTTACTAGGAATCGTAGTTTCCGTCACATTTTTGCTGGAAATTGGGGTGACGAATGGGATGATGAAATGGATTTCACCCAACCTGTTACATGGGATGATGATTTTCCTTTCGACGATCAATTTAATGATATGACTTCATTTTCACCAGAAAATCAAAGTGGTAACTCAGAAAGTGAAGATATTCCAGAAGTTATCAATGGTGATAATTCTGGATGGAGTACTTGGGATGATTGTAGTCCAGAAACTTTTGATGACAATAGTACATCATTTGCGGACATATTTCGTGATGAAAATTGGTGGCAAGGACTAAATTCTTTGTAATGGTGTAGGTAGCACATCATTTTTTATTTTTTATTTTATTCCATCTCTAAATTTTAAATTTTTATATTTAAAATATTGATGATGATTAATTCGTTAAAAAAAAAAAAAAAAATTGCATTCTTTTCTTTTTTTTGATGAACATCCTGTCTCTTATATATATATTAATATATATATTAATTTGGTTACTAAATAATTAAATAATTTTACTTTTAATACGTATCAACTAATTATAAATATATAGATAGGCTGTATGTTCAATTGTATTGACAAACTGCTTGCACACAAATATATATATTTCTTTATTTTACTTTCAATGTCGGTTGAAAAACGGATTGTAGTCAAAAACTTTATTTTTTTTTTCTTTGATTGACATCCCAGATTAGAATGTTAATGAAGATCATATGACAATATGTAAACTTGTAAAAAAAAAAAATAATAATAATAAATCTAATCCCAAAAATAAGAATTTTTTCCCTTTTTATAGTCACACCTACGTGTGACTATCTCAAATTTGTGACTAATTTATGGTTGGTTGCTCCATGTGCTTTATAAATTTATATCTGGCATCATTTCAGATACTTATTTTTCAAAATGTGTGAAGCAAATGCAAAAGCTGGCACATGGAATTCCTTGGAACCAAGTTTGAGTCCTTTCGTGTATGTTTAGATCTATATATTTTAATACTTTTCTAAGAAATAATTTTATTAACTTTATATTATTATTTTTTTTAGTTTGGAAAGTTTGGCAACAATGGGTTTTTCTGAAATGACACCAGTACAAGCGAGCACTATTCCATTATTTATGAAAAATAAGGATGTAGTTGTTGAGGTACTTCAGAGATAACAAAACCTTATAAGGTTTATTATTGGTCCCGAACCTATTTTTTATTATATTTTTTTTATTGAACATTAAGGGTAGTTGGATGATCCTTTTAGGCTGTAACGGGTTCGGGTAAAACACTTGCATTTGTTATTCCTATAATCGAGAAATTGGTTTGCCGAGAGAAACAATTGAAAAAGAATGAAATAGGGGCTTTGGTCTTAACTCCCACGAGGTAAACTCTCATTTTATTCATTTTTTTATTTTATTTATTCATTTCATTTTATGATTAATCTTTTTTTTTTTTTTCTTAATTTTTATTAGAGAATTGGCACAACAGATATATGACGTGTTTACTATCTTCCTTCATGATTCCAACGTGACTTTACTAAAACATTTACTTATAACTGGAGGTAATACTTCTGTTCATGAAGATATTAAACAATTTAAAGAATTAGGACCAGATATATTAATTGGAACTCCTGGAAGATTACATGAATTAATTGTTGGTCGAGGAAATGATAAAAGTTTGGTGAATACCAAGGCATTGGAAATTTTGGTGTTAGATGAAGCTGATAGATTATTGGATATGGGTTTTTCACAAAAATTAAATAATATCATAGCTCATTTACCTAAACAAAGGAGAACTGGATTATTTTCAGCGACAATGACTGATGGACTCACTGAAGTTGTTCGTGCTGGATTAAGAAATCCAGTAAAAGTGGTAGTCAAAGTAGAGAATATTATATCTAAAAATGAACAACGTACTCCTGCTTCGTAAGAATATTTTCTTTTTTTGATAAAAAAAAAAAAAGAATCGAATTTAAAAATTTATAATATTTTATGCATGCATTGGTTTAAAGGCTTCACATCGGATGTATTATTTGTGAACCAAATCAAAAATTGTCTCAATTATTACGGATAATATCACGAGAGAAAATTGCAAAAAAATATATTGTGTATTTTGCAACCTGTGCATGTGTTGATTATTTCTATAAGGTAAATTTATGTGTTGTATTATTTACTCTTTTAGCGTCTTGTGCACGTATCAATTTTTTAATTTACATTTTGATTTATACATATTGATTTTCTAGATTTTGTCAAAATTACCGCAATTAAATGGAACATCTATTTATTCCCTTCATGGCCAAATGGTTACTAAACGAAGAACAGGTTCCTTTTTCTATTTTTTTTATAAGTTTCCTTTATACATCAATAAATGTTTTAATAACACGTAAAAAAATTTTTTTATTTGTTTTATTATCAGCTACTTATCAGGCATTTGTCAATCTTTCACCAAAATCAGCTGCATTATTATTATGTACCGATGTTGCAGCACGAGGATTAGATGTTCCTGATATAGATTGCGTAATACAAATGGATCCACCCCAGGATCCTAAAGCTTTTGCCCATCGATGTGGTAGAACTGCAAGAGCGGGAAAAGAAGGAAAAGCATATTTATTGCTAGGAAGTGGATGTGAGGAAGTTTATGTTGGTAAGTATTTTATTAATATTAATTTAGTATTTTATTATTTGAATCTTTTAATGTCATATACATAAATATATATAAATATAAATATCATTTTTTTACTTCTAGATTTTTTGAAAATTCGTAAAATTCCTTTGAGGTTACAACAATATCTTCTACCTGATGGTACCGAATTCACCACAACCAAGTCTTCATCCTTTTCATCCTCTTCATTTGCAGATAATGATGATGATTCTCTAATACCCATCGTTGATAATGAAAATGATATTCTTTTAAATCAAATTCGAAACATTGTTTTGACGGATCGTGATTTATATGATAAAGTATGAAATTTTATATTTTTGTATATTTATTTAAGTTATTATTAGATATAGAGAGAGATATATATTAAGTATATTAAGAATAAATTATTTATTTTAAATCTGAAAAAAAGGGCATCAAAGCTTTTGTTTCATACATCCGTTTTTATTCTAAACATGAAGCAAGTTATATCTTTCGATCGAAGGATCTTGATTTGGGAAAAGTAGCGAAGGGATTTTGTTTATTACGGGTAATTTTTGATTTTTCATATAATAATAAATATAAAAAGTAAAACATGATAAATATATTTTTATTTATTTTTCTAGTTACCTAAAATGCCAGAATTAAAAGCTACTAAAATAAATTTTGAAGAAATTTCCGTTGATGTGAGTGTATAATTATTATTAATTTATTAAAAAAAAATTTTTTTTTTTTAAGAAAATATTATATTTATAAATATATTTTTTATATATATTATTAATATTATTATGTAAAGATGGATCGATATAAATATGCAGACAAGGAACGTGAAAAAAAGAGATTGTTAAAATTGGTAGAAGAAAAGGAAAGAAAGAATAATAATAATTTCGTAGAATTAAGGTACAACATATAATATTTAAAAATTATATTTGATTATTTTCTTAAATAATATTTATTCGTTATTATTGACTTTTCGAAAATTGGATAGAAAAATACGAAAAGTTCCAAAAGGTCCATGGTCGGAAAAATTAGCTGCCAAGGAACGAAAAAAAGAAAGAAAAGTGAAGAACGAAAAAAAGAAAGAATTAATTAAAAAAAGAAAACTTGAAGAAATTATTATTGGTTCACCTTCCACAAATAAAATTAAAGATGATAATAATAATATGGAAGATTTAAATGATAATAGTATTATAGAAGATGAATGGGAAGAATTACAAAAAGAGAAAAAACTAAAGAAAAAGTTGAAATTGGGAAAAATTAATCAAGGAAAATTTGATCAAGAAATGAAATTAATAACAGAAAATGAAGTTATAATGGAAGATAATGATTTGTAGAATAAAAACTTTCATTACAACAATATTTATATATATAATAAATTATATAGTAAATAATAAAAAGTTTCATTTTTTTTTCAAAAAAATTTTTCATTGAAAATAACAACTTTAATAATTTCTTTTATTAGTTAAAAAACTTAATATTAAATTAATACTAAAAGTTGATATTATCAAAATGCAGTTATTTTTAAGAAATAATTAATGTTTCCCGGATGATCCAATAATTAAACTCTGACGTTCAACCTAATTTCTCATATATACAAGTAACAAAACTTTTTGCTAATTTTAATCTTTTGCACATTGACATGTTAATTAAATTTTAACTTTTTTTATTATATTATCGGTTATGTCTGTCATTCTGTTATTAATCTCTTCGGTAAATATATTAATTTTATCAACTTCTTCAATTCATCAATTTTCTTAATGTATGATTTCCTGATTTTTAATATATAATAAAAAATTTGGTTAATGCCTCTCTCATTAAGTAAGAATATTTTTTAAGTAACAAATAAACACAAGTTTCTTTATCCATAAATAGTAGTGACGTCACAAATCAAGTTACTATGCAAGCAATTCACAAGATTTACTATTTAAAAGATGAGAAAAAGGAAGAGCTAACGAATCCCTCCTTCAGGATTTGTAGACCTTAATCAAAGAAACTACAGTTGTGTACGAAGTAACTAGTTACTGGATTTATTTGTGTATACGCCATGCCAAATGTTTTTTCAAATGTCAAACCCACCAGCAAGAATGAACAAGTGTTACATATGGCATCACAAATATAACCTTTCACTAATTACTTGTGTGCTAAGTGAACCGTCCTCGTTGTTATTACTAACTAACTCAGGTATCAGCAAAAGTCCCCTCACGCCGGCGGTCTCACTTCCACCGACAAAGAATAAAATAAAAAAAAACAAAACAAAAAACAAACAAAAACAAACAAAAAACACAAAAAAAAAGATTTTAACTGCTCGGGTGACATCACAAAGGTTTTTTTGATAACTAAAAGATATACTTACTTTTTTTTTTTGAATCCAAATGTACTTACGCCTGAAGACTCTACATTTTCCCTTCCAGAAAATCTTTTCACCCTTGGAATAAAAATTATTAATTAGTATTTCAACTATTTCAATAAATATATTAAAAGCTAAAAGAATGGCCGAGAAAATAGCAATTGTCTTACAGTTATAATCCTTAGTTCAGTAATGCCTCGGAAATTTTGGACTGTTAAAATAAAACTGACTCTCAGCAATCTTCATAGTTCACTAGTGTGCAGCAACAATAACTCACGGAGAACCTTGGCCTATCAACAGTCCTTTTTTTAAAAAATTAATACAACTTTAAAGTCTCTCAATATCAATTTCGACATTTTCTCTTTTCTATTTTCAGAAATCTTTTGACCAAATTGAAAATTGATATATTTGCGAAGTTTAATCTCCATTGGTGATTTCCCAAAAGTGAATCAGGTTTATAAAATATTTCATTTTATCTATGAAAAGATACAAAGAAAAAAATAAATCGGATAAAAATCATAGTTAATATGATATAAAGAAAGGATATAAAAATAAGATCTAAAAATAATTAACATCAATATAATGAGTTAGCGTTGTGCAGATTGACATCTTGCGTTATCACACTTTTGCAAATCTTTTTCGTCACGTTTTCCTATTATCAAGACAAGTTGAAAGCAAAATATTTAGAGTAAGACGCGTTAGGATACCCTGACCGTCTTGTCTCTAGTATTATTGGATGTAAACGACCCGCAGTTGCGTAGCTTAGTAATTACGATTTGTGACTCTATGACGGATGTTTGATAGTACAGTTGATGAGGATACCCTTTTTGACGCGTTGTTCATCTGAACTTTTCTCACATCAAGCCAATGGTTTTGAAATGAAAGATAGATGGAAAATATTTAAATGATTATATTTATTCCATATCTCACCTGCAGTATTGATTCATCTCGAAGAATTTAATAGCAAAAGATTTCGAAGAACAATTCATACCTTAACACTAGTTTCTCTCAAAAATGAAACTTATTTTTTAACCATTTATACGAAGTAAAATTATATTTTCCTTTTTTTTTCAGTAATATTGTAATGACTATTTTAAATAAAATAATTAAAAATATGGTAAATGAAAATAAAAATAAAGGTTAATATTTATAAAGGTTAATGTTTTATAATAAAAATTCAAAGAATAGGAAAAGCGGAAAAAAATAAAGAAAAAAATGAGAAAATAAAATTAAGAAAAGCGGGAAGAAAAGTGAGGGTTTATATAGAGTAAAAAACTACATATAGGCCCAATTTTTTTAGGGTCTATAGGGTTAAATATTGTAAACATAAATATCAATTACGGCGTAAACAAACTTCCACGTGACAATATTATTTTTTTCCACACGTGTCTTATCAAAATATATCATCATTATTATAAGATAGGTGATTGAAACTGATTTTCCTTTCATTTTTTCTGATGCATTATCAACCCTGTCAAAATTTCCACGCTTATTTTTGGTTTCCAAAATAACGCGTTCCTTTTTTATCATCTGTACATTTTTAACGTTTTTGGTGTTGGTATTAGAAACTTCTGTTTTTGTTTATTAAAGTAAAATTCCAATTTATATTGTTATTATTATTATTATTATTATTTGTCGCGGAAATTTTTTGAGAGTTAACTTTCTTTTATTAATATTATTTAATGAGAATAATAATCCAGTAAAGAATTTAAGATGGTTTGCACGTGTTGTATGCATAACAAACGAGAACAAAAAAAGCGAATAGACGATGATGACCATACATTTCTAAAATACTTTTTTTTTTGTCGAGAATTATCAAAATTTTTACTTTAAATTTGACATTTTATATTTTAAATTGATAATTAATCTTTGACAAATTAAAAATGAATTATCGCAATGATAATTGTAATAATTACATAATCGTCTACATTAAATAATTTCTATTGGAATATAAAATAAAGTTAAAAATATTTCAAATTAATTGATTATAGGATAATATTAATAATAAATCATTTTACCTGTTACTAATTTATTAAGTTTAACAATTATAGAAGCAACAAATAAATCAATAGTTTATTTTCATCAAGTTCAATCATAAAGTCACTAGAATTGAGGGATTCGTCTAGAAAATAATATAGTGAATAATAATGAGAAATATATATATATGAATATGATAAACAAACCTTGTTAGAAATTAAAAGTTCATGAGATGAATCAAAAAGTTTGCTTTTATTAAGTGTTGCTGTGTTAAAGTCTTTTGTCTTTTGATTCAAATTAAAATATTTATATTACCTTTGCAGATGTGATCGTAACAGGAATTTCATCACGACGACGGTCATCAATGATATAATAAGTATCGATAATCTTTGAAGACTTCCAACAAATTTTTGGAGGTATCACAATATTCCCTTGTTTAAGAAGTTCTTGAACAATACGTTTCTTATCATTCCGATTTAAAGAATTTTATTATCCTTTGTTAATTTTGTTTAATTTCATTCTCAAAATTGGTAAGAGTAGAATATTTGACTTGGTGGCTGCAGTGTATAAAGCGGTTGCATATCGACCTTCGAGACCATGAAGCTGAGAAAAAATAATAATATTACTATTATTATATTATTTATAATATTTAATAATTTACCTTAACGGCAAAGTTTCTAACCAATTAAAAAAATGCAATTGTAAAACGCAAAGTATTTTTATTTAACTAATTCTATTCATTAAAATTTCACTTACAAATGTATCCAAGATATTTGATCTTCAATCAAATCTGTAATCATAATTGTGCATGACATGCAAAACGGAATTTATTTAATTTGATAATGTCGGCAAAACGGAAAACGAAAGAAACAGAAGAAGAGTAGGCATATTGTTATATTAAACTTTATTTTAAAACCATAATTTATTGCTAATGATAATTTATTATATTTCTAATCAATTATAAACTAATCAATATAAATTATATTACAGCTTGTGAGTATTTAGATTCATAATTATTGAAATTAATTTAATTAATAACAATTGTCTAATCAATATAAATTATATTACAGTTAGTGAGTATTTGGAGTCTTAATTATTGAAATCAATGTTTCAATATCATATAACAATTCTCTAATCAATTATAAACTAATCAATATAAATTATATTGTAGCAAGTGAGTATTTAGATTCATAATTATTGAAATCAACTTAATTCAATTTCATATAACAATTCTCTAACCAATTATATACTAATAAATTATATTACAGCGAGTGAGTATTTAGATTTATAATTATTATTTCAATATCATATAACAATTCTCTAATCAATTATAAACTAATCAATATAAATCATATTACAGCAAGTGAGTATTTAGATTCATAATTATTGAAATCAATGTTTCAATATCATATAACAATTCTCTAATCAATTATAAACTAATCAATATAAATTATATT